ATAGTTTAATAGTTAGAGTAGTATAAGAGTAAGTTGAGCAATAGAAAATAGGTTAGGTGAAAACTGTATTGGTGGGAGCCCTGGGTGGAAAGGAGGACACTTTTGGTACTGTGCATATTTTGATAGGTAAAGAAACCCCAATATAATCCACCCTTGGATATTAAATGAACCTGTGACACTGTCCAATCTCTGTTCAAAAACATCTCTTGGTAATTAATTCCACTGTTGAACTACTCTTAACTTTTTGCACCTACTACTTAATTTTTTTCAAACATTCAACCAGAATCCACTTTCATGTAACTTAAGATCATTATTAATACATTATAGATAATAATAATGTATTAAACGTATATGCTGCCCAACTCTCAACCGCTCTCGGCAAATCACAATAACCAAATGATAGAAAACCGGTCATAGTCTTCTATGTGACTTAAGGACATACTTTTGAAAAATACTTGAAAATTACTATCAGGTAGACTCTCAATTTTCTCTTCTCAAGGCATACTCAGTTCCTTCACTCTCTCCTTGTAGGGCACATTCTTGTAGGACACATTCACATGCCCTTCTTTGGACTCATTCCATTTTGCCTAAGTCCAGTAGTGTAGGGCCTTTCCCCATCTGTTAAGCTGATGGAGTCAATATTTCAACTGCCCCAGCTGGCCATGAAGTGATTACTGGTAAGAACAGAACAGATATAATAATGCACAAGCATAGCAGAATTCCCTACCCAAAAGAGAGAAAGAGACATTGGATTCGTTCTAGATTAGGAAATAGATAAAACATCCCAGAGAATGTCAGTGGAAAACAACTTGGATAGCATTGCCAGGAAAACAATATGGATGCATCCACAAAGTCATCAGGAATCAAGCTTGACTCAAGGAAGAATCTACCTTTCACTGTAGGTTTGAGATAATGTGCAAAAACCCGTTTCTCTTTCTTTCTAGTCTTTACATTCTCAGTTTATGAACCTTATCTTCAGATTGCTTACTTTTATCAGCTGTTTGCAAAGCATTTGATGTTTAATTTTATTATAGTGTTGTATTTTTTAATCCAGACCCCTTTTGAATGCAGAAAAGCAATGTGTGAATATAAATACATATCAATACTGCCCATCTCAAATCAATAAACAAGCAATGCCGTTTCCTGCTGATGCATTGTTTTGCTAGATGCTATATGAAATGTAGCCTCTAGCCAAGAAAACCAAGAAAGCCAAGAAAACAAACCAATGAACCATCAAACAAATCAACTGGAGTTCTCATCTGAGATACAAATGACCAGGTTCAAATTATCCTACTTCAGACACATTATACAAAGATCCAGCTCTCTGGAAAAGGCTGTAATGCTGGGAAAGGTGGAAGGAAAGAGAGGAAGAGAGCAACCAGCAACAAGGTGGATGGACTCAGTTATAGTGGCAATGAGTGCATGGTGGAAGAGCTGAATGACTAGGTTTGGGACAGATCATCATGGAGAATATCTATGTGGTTGCTAAGAGTTTACCACAACTTGATGGCACATAATCATCAATCATCATCATCAATATGAAATACATTAAAAAAAACACTTAAATCACATTGTAGAAAGATGGCTTGATTTTTCAAAGATGGTATGTCTATAGTGACAAGTTGGTTTCATTTATCTAGCTATGGTGCTAACAAGGAGTACAATGATATACTAATTGACAGCAATTGCCATTTCACAAAAGAAGAGGAAGAAGGAAGAAGAAAGAATTTCTTGAATAATTATATTTGAAGTGGAAGAGTTGTCTTGCATTTGCAAAACAGAAGTTGACACTACTGAGAGGGAGATTCGGTCTCCCTGAAAATAACAATGTGGAGAAGTCCATGCTGGAAGAACATCCTCTATATTAGAACTCAAAGCATTTTTAGTGTCCTCCTTGCTCTTAATGAGGCAGGAGCTTTATCTTCTCTTCATATCTCTGTGCAAACACTCACCTAATTCATATGGAACAAAACCTCTTTCTTTTCTACCCTTCCCTTCTCTGGCCATACCTCGGTACTTTTTGTTCTGATTACCCCCCCCCCCTTGTTTCTGTTGAAGGAGGAGAAAAGGTTTGTGAGTTATACATATACATATTTGTATGTATGTGTGAGAATGAGAGTGACAAAGACAGGCATATAGGCACAAACATATACAATGCATTATGCACACATTTATTGGGAAGAAAAAATAACTAGGATTGGTTTCAGCTGGAACTGGGTCACTCTAGTATGACAGAGAAGCTGGATGTTGCACAGGAATTTAATATGTATTTAGTTATTCCTGTCTAATCTTCCTTTGTCCTGGATAATAGTTGTAAATTCAGGGTTGTTTTTCTTCTGGGTAAATGCAATAACAACTAAATAGGGTTTTATAAAGCTTGCCTTGAAACTACCCCCTCTGACCTAGCATTCAGAGTTATTTGGATTCCTAGATGTAGACGCCAGCTGTGGTGAAGTTTATGAAGAAAGTTATGCTGTGCAGGTATTTAGTTACTGCTTCTATGTTCCAGAGGGTAGCACTGCCAAATGAAAGCAGTTCTCTGCTTTGGAGAATGAATCCTGACTTAAATTTCATCCTAACCAACACTAATCCAAGATGGAGTTGGGCATGCATGTCAATCCTCACTTCCAGCCTTGGGAAGGCTACTATATACATTTTCCTAAAGGCAAGTCTCAATGAATTTACCATGTTTTATTGCTGAAGACACAAATATAACTGTATTGTAGAGTAGCAGCTAAGGAGCCTTTGTTATTCCTATGAGAAGAGTGGCATTTGTTTTGCCAGCCCCAAAGTAGGAAATTTGAGGAGAAACAGCCCAACCAAAATCAGTCCTGAACTATGATGTCAAAGAAAAATGCTTCTAGAGTTCCCTACGTTCTACAAAATATCTAAATTTGCTCTTAGTCTGCATAATTACCTGATTTCTTACTACTCTATAGTAGCTTTTGGGAAAACTGGAATTATTTTCACACACTGGATTAAGTCACCATGGAAGCAGGAGGTAAGACTGGACCATCCTTACTGGCACCACCAATATTAAAGATTCAGTCCAAAGAAAGCTGGAACAACTGAAATCCCCATTAGGACAAAAGAGTCGTAAATGCTTAAGACTGTGATTAAGTTCCAGCTCATCCCGTTTCTTTGGATTTCATCCAATAGACACAAATAGGATGAAATATGTTGCATTATGAAAACTCATGTCCTTGGTAGAACTGCCAAATTCTAAATTACATTACTGTCCAATCCACACTTGGAGCATTTGAATGTTAGTTGTGTTTTCAGAGTAGAAATTGTTCTAAAATGTAAATATAAAATTACACCAATCAGAATATGTATTAGATTAAAATGGTTATCTACCTGGAATTTATACCTGACAGAAACAGTGCAAGTGAAACTCAAATCATAAATAGAAACAAATCTTTAAATGCTGCAATTATACTGAGTGGCTTAATACAAAAATCAGCTACTAGCAAGTCCTGGGCTGGTGGTTCTCAGAGCATTTTTTAAAATTCCCTGGCCCCCAAATCAGCCTGCTGTGTTGTTTGTCTGTGGCTCACTGGATTTGAGGAATCGTATTCTCTAATGTATGTGGCTTGCTTTATGCCTGACTATTTCTTTACTTAGTCTGTAAACAATTTCCCTTTGCTTAAGGGACTCAGAATCTCATTTTTTGAAATTTTAGGTTTTATTATGAACATAGTAACTTTCTAAAGTTTAAACCTTAGAATTATTTCAAGTTAATAGACACATATATCAGTCATTCCATAAGTTTCCTAACATTTTTAACTAATTACAGTAGATTGAGCACTGGAGGAGCAAAAGTGCCACATTTGTGCTCATGCAGCATTCTTGTTTTTATCATTTGTTTTCATTGCTGTATGCTGCTCAGAGTCACATTGTTTGAGTTGGCAGCCTTATACATGTAGTTAATAAATAAATAAATAAATAAACAGATAATATACAATTCCAGCAGTCACCAGAGGTCCTTTCTCTGTGTCTTTCTCCTCCATCTCTTCATTGACTCCTTACAAAACAATAAAGTTGCTAGGCACAGTTACAATTTGTTTTTTCTGAATACTTTAGACACACTTTAAACAAAATGTTCCAGTATCACTGCCACTCAGAACAGAGAGATGAAAAATCACCAGGACCAAGGAAATAGATGGCAAGTCCAGAAGCATGCATGAGACTTCCAGAGGGCATCTTATTCCAGGACTCCTCAATTTAATACCATGGATCTTCTGATCCACCTCCTTCAAGGTAGAACAGCCTAAGCCAGTTAGTAAGACAATTCCTAGCTTGGATTCTTGAGTATCAACTTAGAGCTATATTGAGAAAGTTTTAGTGTATCTTCATTGCACAGGGAGATGCTCTTTTCCAGACGTAAACTATTTAAATCTTAACCTTGTTCTAGAAATAAATCAACCATTTCTGTTCCATCTTCATTCTTCGGTGTCCTACCTCTATCCCCCCACCACTACCACTATACCAATACTATTGCATCAGATGTGCGGGGTTCCCCTGCACAGAAACAAGAACTTCTAAGATTGCATGAAGTGGAACAAGAATTGCTTTCACAAAAAAGGGGTAATTTTTATTATTATTATTCTTAGCAGTATTCACCTTGAAGGAATATGAGGGATGCATACATTTTTTACAGACAATATATAAACATGTTGTACATAATTAACAATAACTTAGTTCACTAATCCAAAAATTAAGCCAATTAAAAAAAAAAAACAACAGAAAATACTGCCAAATCTTTATGCTGATACAAGTACAAAATAATTTAAATCCTGACTGCGGTTCTTCTATGCTGCAGTGACTGACAATCTATTGCACTTTGTCAACCTTGGACTCGGTCCAGCAAGCGTTCCTGATCTGCAGCCTTGGTCTTCTTAAAAGGTGGGCGTGAGCAGGCCTCGCCTTTGACACAGCAGCAGTAGCACTGGGCGGGTTTGTTTCCTAGCATTATGATCTCCCTCAATCTCTCACCCAGCCACTCCCACCCACTTCCGACCCTCACGGAATTTGAGCTGGTCACTACAAAAGGTGGATAACTGTACCATGTAGGTTAAACATTCCCTTTCCTCACATACACACACACACATGCACCCAAATAAAGGAAAAGGAGTAAATAATTTCCATCTTGGTTAACAGAAATTAAAATTTAGCCCAGGTGGAATTTCTTTCAGTTTTGGTTGTTGTTGTTGTTGTTTTGTGGGGCTTTTTTTGTCTTTGTTTTGGGGGGGGGGATGGGGCTTTTTTTGTCATTTCTACTTCTTCACAAAGGGCAGCTACATTATGCCTACACAAACTAGAAAAGCGAGGAAAGGCATTTTGCTTGGAATGCTCGGTCCTTTGTTCTTTTACCAAAAACTGAATTAGATTTAGGAGGAAACAAAAACAATGTACACCTGGATTTTTGTTTTTAGCAGACTTTTGCAGTTAAAGATACAGTTGGGTTCCAATAAAAAAAAAAACACTGAAAAAAAAGACAGTTAAAAACTTGCCACAGAGTTAAGTTTATGCGATTTACATTATCAAACCCCTCCGTTAACTGGGGTCGTTTTTTTTTTTCATCAGAAATATAGCTAAATATGTACATCATATGTTATATTGGACCTCGTGATCATGAAAGTCATCAGATCATAACAATCAATAGAATACATTTCACACTGGCAAGAGCTTTATTTTTCAGCTTTTTACGTACAGTATGGTTTCAGAATGGGAGACAACTTTGTTTTTGAACACTTGTGATTTTCTTTAAAAACAAATCTATATATATATATATATATATGCTATAGGAAACCATATACCCCATTTTCCCCATGAGCAGATCGCGCTCCCTTGCTGTTGCTACGTCTGACCTGTCAGAAGAGTCGAAAATATCTCTTTCTCTTACCCCTGTCTCGCAGATCTTCATTTACTTTCTGCTTTTCACCTCTTGTCAAGCAGATCACTTGTCACAACATGCGTGCCTACAGGTGGCAAATTCTATCTCTGCTTGGACAAAGTGTTAATATGTTTGCTCTATACGTTTATGCATCTTGGGCAAATCTCCTAACAAAACAGATTAAACTGAACCACCATGATGGATCCTTTCAGGGTTGTTCAGCTTAAAAGGGTTTTCCTTCTCCTGCCATGACCTGAAATTATATGTTAAATCTAAGAATACAGTTCCCTAGAGCAGTGTTTCTCAACCTTGGCAGCTTTAAGATATATGCACTTCAACTCTCAAAATTCCCCAGCCAGGAAGCTGGCTGGGAATTCTGGGAGTTGAAGTCTACATACCTTAAAGTTGCCAGGGTCAAAAAAACATTGCCCTAGAGAAAGGGCTACAACTACCTGGCAGCATAGATGCTTTGTACATCAAAGGTTTCATAGCTTCAATACTTGGCATCTCCTATTAAACAATCTTACAGAAGAGAAAGGAAAAGCTGCAGAGGATAGCTGCTGCAATGGCCAGCGCTGGGTTGGTTGGTCTGCATAAGGCAGTTCACTATCTCGTTAAACTGTCTTTGCATAATACAGGCAATTGGCATCAACCTGAATGGCAGAGATGCCTAGCATTTTGGAAAAGAATTTATGGATCCTAATGCAAGATATTATTGCAGATTTTCAACACAGCAGACTGAGCCATGGAAGGAGGTGAAGGGTTGGGGGCCCCACATCATTATTGTTAAGGTCCACCTAGTGATCCAGTTGGTTCCTATGCATTTAATGGGGAGAGAGCAATCCCTCTCTCAGCCTCAGGCAGCAAGAAGTCTTGGGACTTCCTTGCTCTCCAGCAGAATGGTCATGAATCATGCTGGTTGAGGAGACAGTAACTGCACCTAACCAGGGAGAGGACACCAAGCTGGGGAAGTCTGGGCTAAGGCAATGAAATCAGTTATGAAAAGCTGCCTGATGTCTGTGCTGACTTGCCACTGGAGAGCGCAAGGGAGAGGCCTTTGGGGCAGGCCAAATGGTTTGAGGTGGGAATGCCCCTTATCAGCCCACTAGCTGCGCACAAACATTCTTAGGAGAAGTATGATGAGAAAGACATCCAGACTCCCTCTGTTTTACTCTCCAACCATGGCAAGATTGTTCCCTGTGGAAAACCTTTTAGCCATTTGTCCAGTGTATCTGTTCTCTTGTTGAATGCCACATTTTTACGTCAAGATATTCATAACGAGAAAGAGACTGCAGAAATTATGTCTAAATAATCCATGTCTGAGGCTATTGTAACCAACATTAAAGCCAACCGTTTCCCTCTCTCACATACATCCCCTTCCTAGTAGATTTTTTAAAAAAAAAAATCTAACAGCAATGAAGAGAAACAAAAATGTGGCCATTAAGCAATAAAAATAATAATAATAATTAGAAAAACTGTTTTCTACTAGGTTGGACATTTCTTTAAACAAAATAAAAATAAAATAAAAGATCCATAAATTCATGCAAGAGTTTTGAAGCTCTTTCTAGAACACAAGAGCAAAATAAATAATGATTTCTTTTTGTGACTGGTTTCTTAAAAAGTAGATTTTTTTTTTTTTTTTAATAAAGTTGTCCATTTTTCCTCCACACAAAACACAATCCAAGATAGAAATCCAGCATGGGTGGCTACCACTGAACTTCCTCTGCTTCAGGAGATGGCTAATCTCTTTACAATATTCACAGTAATGAACGAACAGAAAGGAAAGCTGGCTCCAGTTTCTTTCGCTACTTCGGCCATCTTTCCTTTCCACTGGGGCAAGCAGGTATCGTATCAAACAGATGAGTTCCTCTTTCTCCTTTTACCTGAGGGAGCAAAGTGCATAACAGGCACCATTAAGCATTTCTGCAGAAGACCCATCATTGCAAAGTTTCCACTTAGCACTAGGAGCTGAATTATGCTGGAACAAGATCCCCTTTTGCTTTCCTTCCTTTCTTCCTTGCATTCTCTTTCCTGGGCAAAGGCTTTCCTTCCTGTCATCTTAGGCAAAGCCCCCAGTGCTGGAAGTCCGTGAGAATCATTGAATTCTATCCCATAGCTGTAACCATGCTGGATGGATGTGGATGTCCAAATGAGATGCTGGAAGATGGGTGGATGGGGGTAGGAGTTGGGAGGATATGTCCAGAGTGGCTGAAGGGTGGCAAGTGGCCCATTGGTGTCATGTGACTAGCCAGGGCAGCAGCACTGAAAGGAGAGGACTTCTCTTGCATGCATTTCGACAGTTCCTCAAAACATTCAGAGCCTTTCTTGCTCTTCTTGGATTTGTTGGACATTTTCCTATTTCTGGTCTGAATCCCTTCCTTCTTCATGGTCAGAGGCCTGTTTACCTGCAAGAAATGAAAAAATCAGGCTCCTGCAAGCAAAGTGACCAAAAGAAAAATATTTGAACAACCTCCTAAATCTTCCTTGGATTGTGTCCTCCTCCCCCTAATCCAGTAGTCTATATTTCTCACTTTGCTCTCCCTGAAGATTTTGTTTATAAATTAGTTTTATTGGATAAAACCACACCAAACTCAAGTATATTCTGATTGCTTTCACCCTTCCTTTCTTTGCCCTGGCCCCTTAACAATCAATCAACTCTATATCCATAGATATTTTAGATGTATGGGTGTATACATGTTTTCAAGTCAATCTTGATTCATAGCAACTATATGGACAAATTCATGCAGGGTTTTTTGGCAAAATTTTGGAAATGGTTTATCACTTACAACCTTTTTGGAAGTGGTTTACCACTGCCTTCTTCCTAGGGCTGAGAGTGCATCTGACCCAGTCACCCAGGTGGCTTCAACACCTAAGGCTGGATTACAACTCATAGTCTGTCAGCTTCTAGTACAGTGCCTTTACCAAACTGGCTCTCCTATCTGCATTTGTATCTCTACCTCTATCTGTATACACACAGAATATTCTGCACACTTCTCCACATTGACTTCAAAGCTGGAGTTTTAAAAATCCTTCACCTTGCCCTAGATACATGCTCAAGTAAATCCAATATTTTCTCCTTGGATTGAGTCTGGATTTTTCAAATTAAATTTAATTGTTTTGTTTTGAAGCACCAACCTTACATAAAAATCATCCATTATATAAATCCATTTTAAATATCCTCCGAATTTCTGGGGTACAGTAGAGAAGAACTGAATATGCTTTAGCAATAACAGTGAGTTATAACTCTCTTTTGCCTAGATTATCCAGGCTTTAGAAGCCAAGCTAACACATCGTAATGTTATTGAACCCAGCATCACTATGCCAACAAAGAATGGTTATGACTTCCCCAGGGAACATTAAAGAGCTTTTTTTCAAAAAGTCCCTTTGCAATGAATGCAAGGGCTAGTGGACAGCAGGCAGTTAAGGCATCAATCTCAGCTAAGCAAGCAAAAGAAGACACAAGGCAAGAAAATACTCACATTGTGCAATTTGTAATACAGTCCACAGGCATTACAAACTGGATCCCCGTTGGCATTACGTCGCCATAAAGTGGTGGTGGTGGTTTGGCAGTTGGCACAACAAGTTCCTGCTCTCCTAGCAGCTGACTAATTAAAGATGAAAATATATATGTTGGAGAAGATGTTCTTTCAGTTTTAACTGGTGTTATTAGTTTTAAGTCAAATATTATATATTCAACCATCCCCCTCCTAAATTCCCAGTTTTTAAGGGTTTAAAGTTTCGGATAATTTGATTTCCACACCCAACTCAAAATGAAATGGAATATAGGCTCATTAACATCCCGTTTCCTTGCTAGTGTTGGATATCTTATGCATTTACAAAAACCCTGTCTCCCCACTTCCCTTCCAAGCAATTGGCCTCTCATCTTTTGCACATGGGCAAGGGAAGTCAACTAGCCAATGAATAGGAGATTCCAGCTATGCTTGAAGAGCCCCAGGGTTATATCAGAAATCAGAGAAAACTGGTGGTCAACTTTAAATGAGAATACATCTAAAAATCAAGAGACATAGCCTGTCAGCCTTTTACATGCTATCTATGTGTCAGGCCTGGGGAAGGTTACTCTTTTCATTAGCTTTCTCCACTCTAAGGCCTTCCAGATATATTGGAACTACAATTCCCAGAATTCCAATTCAACTTCTTAGAACTACTACATCACAACTGAAGAGTAGCAGGTTGGGAAAGGCCACTTTAATGAATATGTAGGCCAATTAGCTGAACTGTACAGATAAGCACTCACATGCTACTCTTCCCTTTTCTCATTCCACTTCATCATTTTAACTCATTTTCTCCCAGCCAGCCTCACTTCCAGCCACAGAACTGGACTAGGCGAAAACTGCTTAAAGCAGCAGAACACAACAAGATAAAGCAAAGCAGAGGCGAATATAGTTTCCCTATCTAGAATTATTTGAGTATAAAAATATCCAAACACACTCTTGCTTTATATGAGGGGGAGCCACAAGAACATCTACAGGATCGCTGTGAAGAATATTCAAGCTACCTGGCAGATAAAGTCTCCGATACACTCAAAGTTGGACTGAGGAACCCGGGTCTGGTCTTTGGGTTTATCTGGAATGAGCTTGAATCTGTGCCTCCTGAAGAAATGGACAGAGTCCTCCGAACTGGGAGCTCAGCCACTTGTGTTTTAGATCCAGGTCCCTCCAGGTTGTTAAGCCTGCAGGTTGGGTCCATGGGATGGTGTCAGCTTCTTTGAGAGAGGGTGCGGTTCCTTTGGCCTCAAAAGAGGTGGTGATATGCTGTGGGTCCTGGGAGTTGGGGGTACAGTATTATAGTGGTTTTCCTCTTTTTCTGTAGTTGACTTTGATGGGGGAGAGGTCAAGCCCATGGCTCCTCATTTGTGGAGTGCCTCTGGACTTGATGCTCTTGCCCCTTCTGTTTAACATCTACATGAAACTGCTGGGTCTGGTCATGAGGTCCCTGTATCTGCTAACGAGTCCTTAAACTCATGCTCAAATACAGAACCTCATAGCATTAATACTTATTACATTAAGCACTGTCTCACTGCCTCTAACTCCCTTTTGCATTTATATGTTTGCCATTTTCATAGCATGGTCAAATTACAAGACACTACAAATACCAGAATTTCTATTAGCCAGTGTATTTTCACCATCACTCATGAAAAACAAGGTAAATTAAACTCTATGTAAATGCCCCATTTCTGATTAATAGGAACCCGAATGCCTTAATTCCCATCAAAGAAAAAATTAATTATTTAGTGTTGATAACCTGCAATTTAAGGATTTGGAATATTTAGGCTACTTGTTCCAGTACTTAACACTCTGCCTCTGAAACCCGGTTGTAACACTCGAGATCTATAATGCTATACTGAAAAAGCATTCAGTATATATACCTCCATGTAACTACCATATTTGTAAAGATGATGCTGGTGTACAGCTGTATTACAGCTTTCACTTTAATATATAACTGATAACTGTCCCTTTATATCTTAAAAGAAGTAAATGAAACGGACCATCATGATTTGCTACACTTTAGCAAATCAAATATCAGCCCAACAGCAGCATCTATTGATTAGCTTATTTGTTCTACAAATCTTTGCTTTCAGGCACAGCCAGACTGACATTTTGAGCGGCTTAAATAAATGATCCAAGCCCAGGCTGTACTAATCTATGGCAAGACTGCTATGGATTCCAATAGGAGCTGTATTAATTTTTGCTTGGCCCTAAGGGAGGGGGGAGAAAAACTGATTCTGTACATGAAAGTAAGATTTACATTCAGACAAAATGCCTTTCCCCCTTAAACTGGTATTTGGCGGAATGACCCATAACCCTGAAAACAATAGGGTCATTTCAGAAGTTTTTAAGAGTAGAAGAAAATGCACCCTCTCTTTTAGGAAAGAATCTTTGGTAAGAAAGAGTTCCTGTTTCAGGAAATATTTTTCATCCACTCTTTGGTGCAGTATGTGTACGGGAATGTGGAAATATAGATGCTTTTTCCCCACATAAAAATATTTAGTCTATGACAGAGGCCCCTTAAAATCAGATTAATTTCTGTGCTGATTTTGGAAGCAGCCACACAATAATACAGCTAGCAACTATACAATCCTGTTTCATTGAGAATGTAAAACAGACCTATATTCCCCAACATTTAGATCAGGATCCCCAACTTTTGGGGCTGGTGGGTTCATTAACAACTTGAGAAAATGGTAAGGGCGCTATCTCAAAATGTGTGTTCAGAAGACTTCACTGATTTGCTTGAAAGGGGGAAACAGCCAGCTATAAGGCACCACATTACCAGAATGCTATTCACAAGTTCCATTTCTCAGATATCCTCCTGTTTACTTTTCTCCTTTTTCTCAGCAGCTAGAGTTACTCCCAAACAAAGCACTGACGATGCAACCACCCATCATTTTTATTTCAGACTAAGAAGTATTCTTGGAAATAAAGATGGAGGTTGTCCTTCTGTTGTTGGTGTTGAAGCATGCTAGCTCTGCATTTTTAAACATTAATATTTTTCAAAAATCTCAGAATGAAGAACAGGGAGCCCTGGGAGGTAGCAAGCTGAAGTGTCCACAGATAAATCTGGTGAAAGCGCTTTCTTTAATCTAAATGTGAAAGTGCTTTCTTTAATCTAAACATGAGAGTCCCATAAAACAAGCTTTGTTAATACGTTGTACTAACATTGTACTAATATTCCATCCAATCTCTACCACAAGACAATTAAGACTATGTATAGTCTAAAACTGGTGCTCATGTCTGAGAATTATGGAAATTGTAGTCTAACAAATCTGGAAGCACTAGGCAGTTGAGAGAGGCTAATTTTACTATGTATACCACACACTAATACTCCTTCCTTCCCCCCGCATTATAATATATTCTAAAAAGCATCTACTGATCAACTTTGCATATTCAATTTCTTCATGAATCTTGCACATTTTTCTTTAACAATCAAATTCAAGAATAATTAGTCCCGCTGATTTCAGTAGGATTCACACTAACCCAGTCTGGGTACAACTTTATATATTTGAATCATACAGTGGGGCAAAAAAGTATTTAGTTAGCCACCAATTGTGCAAGTTCTCCCACTTAAAAAGATGAGAGAGGCCTGTAATTTTCATCATAGCTATACCTCAACTATGAGAGACAAAATGAGAAAAAAAATCCAGAAAATCACATTGTCTGATTTTTAAAGAATTTATTTGCGCCAGACATCTTGCTTGTTTGTAGGTGACCAAATACTTATTTTCCACCATGATTTGCAAATAAATTCTTTAAAAATCAGACAATGTATTAGTGTGTGGTATACATAGTAAAATTAGCCTCTCTGTATTAGTGTGTGGTATACATAGTAAAATTAGCCTCTCTGTATTAGTGTGTGGTATACATAGTAAAATTAGCCTCTCTGTATTAGTGTGTGGTATACATAGTAAAATTAGCCTCTCTGTATTAGTGTGTGGTATACATAGTAAAATTAGCCTCTCTGTATTAGTGTGTGGTATACATAGTAAAATTAGCCTCTCTGTATTAGTGTGTGGTATACATAGTAAAATTAGCCTCTCTGTATTAGTGTGTGGTATACATAGTAAAATTAGCCTCTCTGTATTAGTGTGTGGTATACATAGTAAAATTAGCCTCTCTGTATTAGTGTGTGGTATACATAGTAAAATTAGCCTCTCTGTATTAGTGTGTGGTATACATAGTAAAATTAGCCTCTCTGTATTAGTGTGTGGTATACATAGTAAAATTAGCCTCTCTTGCAAATAAATTCTTTAAAAATCAGACAATGTGATTTTCTGGATTTTTTTTCTCATTTTGTCTCTCATAGTTGAGGTATAGCTATGATGAAAATTACAGGCCTCTCTCATCTTTTTAAGTGGGAGAAATTGCCCAATTGGTGGCTGACTAAATATTTTTTTGCCCCACTGTATGCTTCAACAGTAAGAAAGGAAAATCAGTGACTGTAACTAGTATGCACATTAAAAGGAAGTAGAATATGACTGACACTTTAAAAATTCAGTATAACTGAGTGTGGCATCTATGTCAAGTAGCAGAATTTAAAATTTAAGGATAACAGAGAGAATAAAGACACAATCCTTCAGAGAATTCTCCTACATAAGTCTAACTAGAATTAGTCAGCATTATAAACAGCAGCATGAGAGAAGAAAGAATGTTATTTTAATTTTTTAAATGGGACCCAGAATAAATGGGACAAGCTGCAATTATATTATTTTGCTAACTAAGACAGTTTTCTGATGCTCTTTGTAAAAAGCTGCCTTAAAACAAGTTGCATCTGTTTTGTCCATATAGTCTAGTCTACTCTAAATATCAGCATGGCCCTGGAGGTCTGAGGAGCAGCCCTCCCATGCTTCTTACTAATCTTGCATGAGAACTCTCCTACTGAGCTGACCCACCGGCAATGCGACAAGGTCTAATAAAAGAGGATACCTAAACAAGGCAAGTATGCTCCCTTTTCTTGTTGGACCCCCATAAAAATTACTATCAGGAACTTCTGAGTCCAAAAGATGCCAACCAGTGCATCAATTCATGCAATGAGGCTCCTGCTAGAATAGGAAAATTCTCTTTTATCAGGCTATAGGCTTAGGACATGATACATAAATGGTCACCTTTCTATTCAGACTTCCAATTTTTTCTGTGTTCCAAGATGCCACAAGATAAAACAAGGTTTTAAAATGTATCTTACTTTTCACTGGACAAGAAAATGACAACTATATTGGCTGGTTCTGAATTTTAAATTATCTTGTCCCCGTTCCCTGATCCAACAATTACACACACACACACAACTCTAGAAACTCACTTGCTAAAAGCCAAACTTGCGAAGAGAGAGAGCTATGTTTGCATATTTAAGATTGCTTATTCGTACTAGACACTACCACTTAGCCCTATCCCATTTCGTCTGGCATGGAGTTTACCCTGTCAGAAACGATAACGTTTCACTGTTGTCTTAGCATTTTTCTAGTTGTGTCAGTCACTTCAGAAGTAAAGTAAGTCATTAAGACGATCACCCGCTTGAAGTTCTGACTCATGGCCAAAATCCTCTGCATCCTGTCTCAGCATTAGATCATTAGAACTGTTCCTTTAGCCTTGCAATCCTTGTTCTGGAAAAATGCCCCCTGCCAAAGGGCAAGGGGATTTTTAGTCTCCCTAAATCACATTGTTCCGTGTGTGTGTGTGTGTGTGTGTATATATATATTCTCCTTTTTTTAAACAAATATTTGTACAGGGGAGCATATTTGCAATTTCAAAACAGACTGCCTGAATAGCATGGCTTGCCTATAGAAACTCTTTAAACCTTTCAGAGCCAGGAAACAGATACACAAAGTTTCCTTATCTTCAGAATACAGATATCCGGATAGGAAACTACTACCAGGAGCTCAGAATTTTTTTAAAAAATTAAAAAATCAACAACCCTGAAATGGAAATACAAAGTATAGGTGACTCCATGGAAAAATAATCAGCTCTTTAAAAGGGCAATCAGGGGATCGCTTATAAAGAAGGCTAATGTTAGTTTTACCATGGAATATCTGACTACAAAATTATCCAAATAATAATTGAACAGACAGAAACAGCTTTGACTCATCTGTTATTTTTATTTTTTTTAATACTTTCTGCTTTGGGTCACTTTTTGTACTTTTCAGATGGGAGGGCATGCAAGAGTGATTCTTTCAGTTTGAGCATACATCTGACCTGTCCAAGAGGTCAAATGAATTAAAGCTGTCTTTTCTGGATAAAAGAGGCGGAATAATGCACGGGAAGAAGTAGGCTGATTTAATTGGGCACATACTTTCAAACAGGCAGGAATGTAGTGCAAAGATACAGACAGACAGAATGTGAGCGTGTGAGCCAGGGTAAGCAGAACCTTCCTTTGGTCTGTGCCACTGGCCCACTTCTTAGGAT